TTAGGGATTGTTTGTTTACCTCTTAATAGTTTCATTAAGAAGCAACATCTGAATCGTTAAGAGGTCAATCATGTTTGGCAAAAAAAAAAAGTCCACCTCTTAATGGTTGTAAAACCCTCTGAATGATTTTGTATCCACGACCTCCTTTAACCATTTAGCGTCCTAATTTCATTGTAAACAACTACCACACAATTATATTTCATTTTACACTATATCATGAGAGTCTCTTAATTATTTTGTACTAAACCATTCAGCAACTATCAAATAACCCTTAGGATAATATAGTCCTACGACCAAGTTGGTTGTTATTCTTCGCAGTGTAATATAATTGATGTTTTATAAAAATAAAATATAATAACAATCTAACTTTATTTGAAATAAAACATTTTACAAAGTTAATAATTTTGATCCAAAGAAAGAAACTACAATCCTTTATTGTAATACACGCAATAAAGTAGACATGAATATTCATGGATTTGCATGTGATTAAAATAATTAGATAATATAATTTTTAATTATATAATAATTATAAATAAATAAATAATTTTATTAAAAAAAATATTTATAAATGATTTATACAACTCTTCCTTTTTCATGAGATCTGAGAAAACCAATGCATAATTATCGATTACCTTTGATCCAATAAAGACGATTGTGCCTTTTTTTTTTGCAAAAGAGGGTGAGAGTCTGACAGGAGTTTTTTACACACCCACAGATTTAGTCATTAGGACCAAAAACAATTATACAGTTAGTCCAAATGTTGTCTGTCAAGTAATAAAATAGTACAAGTACCGAGTATTGTCCGCAGAGATTGAAGTAAAAGTTTAATAAAAGTATTATGAAGCAAATGATTTCAGATGACAAATTTGAAAACTTTGATTTGTGTAAGTTATCACTTGATGAAATTATCATATGATAAAAAAAACCAGGGTATAAGACTCAGGGTGAAATGTAAACACAGTACATCAATGTTGTCAAAGTGCTACAACATGAAATTAGTAACAAGTATTTTCACCATTTATTTTGAGGGTATTTCTCTCGGACTTCACCATTGCATTGTTATAGCTTTCAACACATATCTTTATATGGATAAACAAATCTCTTTGTTAAATATCACTCGTTCGAGCGGATTCTCATATCATTCGAGTTGACGTGTTTTGATGACTCATCTCTAAGTCCATTCCTCTTTAACACTTCAACGTGATCAACCTGTCGAGATTAACCGATTTAGAAAATACAAATAATAAATCTCTTTGTTAGTAATTTTCTCAAATCTACTTCCCATATCATCCAAATTGACGTGCAATCAAATGACTCAGCTTAGAGTCCATGACACTTTAACACTTTACAAATATATCAACTCGTCGAGAAGTGTCATTGGTTTTTATAAAACTTGAAATGAAATAATGAAACAGTGTTGTTACATAAGAGGATCTACTTTCTTTTGGTTTACAAATTCACTCTTTTCATCTCACACCTAAGCTAAGAGATGTAGTTACTCATGACGAAAAGAAAAATAGCAGAAAATCTAAATTGCAGTAAGTAAAAACATGAAATTAAATGACGGAAAATAAATTAAGAATGGAATGTAAAGATAGAAAGCGTAATAAATAAAGGAAAATTAGAATGCTACAGAAATGCTATGAAACTTCATAATACCCTTCAACAATATATATTAAAACCGAAATTAAAAAGACAAAAGTTTAGAGGAGAGAAAATTCAGTTCTTTACAACTGAAATGGCTTGGAATTGCTTCCCAAAGATTAATCCAAACCCTCTATTTATACTAAAATAGGATCGGGGACAAAAGAGTAATTAGCAAGTAACTTGGAACCAAAGTTTTCTAACAAGTAGACTAGACAAAATTAAGAAGACTTCAATGTACTACTTAGATAACTAAATTGACAACTAATTTCCAGCTTTGAATTTAAATCAGAATTCTTCCAAACTGTCTTCTATGAGGCACTAAGGTGGTGTTTGTTTTTTAAGAGGTGTTGAAGTCTGAAGTCTGATTTCACTTCTGATTTATAAGAGGTGGTGCTGAAGTCTGAAATCTGAATCAGTCAGACTGTTTGTTTTTACGTCTGAAGTCTGAAATCTGAATCAGTCAGACTGTTTGTTTTTACGTCTGAAGTCTGAAATCTGAATCAATATAAACACGAAAAAAGTCTCATAACGACTAGAACCAATATTCATATTGCATTAATTGTGTCGCCATCATCCTTTGCTTATTGGTTTGATCATACTCAGAAAATAACTCGTATATAGGAGAGATCGATTTGTAGAGATCGTTTTGGATAGATCGGTAGCTTGAGACCGAGCGAGAGATCGATATGGTGTTTAGATCGTATGATGTGGGATAGATCGGTATGATTTGGCAGCTGGAAATCAAGCGAGAGAACGAGAGATCGATATGGTGTGTGAATAAGAGCCCATTAAGAGTTTAGACTACCACTTAAAAATTCAGAGGGCAATAAGAGCTTTTCAGCTCTTATTTTTAAAAAAAATCAAACGGTCTAAAAATAAAAACGTTTGACGACTTACGAGGTATTAAGAGTTTTTTTTTTTTAAAACAAACAAGCCCTAAGTTTGTCCAAAAGTCATTCCTCTCCTTAGTCATTCGGTTCCATCTATCAACTTGCTGATACAAAAATGCTACAACATTAGATCTGCTACACCAATTATGTCCAAAAGTCCATATTAGCCTACTTGAAAAGTAAAAACAGGTATATCATCATCTATAGCTCCAAAAACAAAAAAATAATGAAGTAAAATGACTCAAGATCGGGAATTAAATGGAAAAGAACCTATCTAAATGAGAAGAAAATAGTGGTTTAGCACTAATTAATTAGTGCATATCAGAAGGGTAGTTTGGTCTTTAGGTTTTCAGATTTCTGCATTAGGCACGATCGATCGATGTTGTGAATGTATAATGACTTTTCCATAAAAGGAATTTGACTTATGTTAAATGATATGCATTTAGCATAAAGCACATATTTCTTTACTTTTAGGTAGTTTATTCATCTTTTATCCCAACTGTGAGTGTTTTCTATTATATTATTTTCCATTTGTTTATCCATGAAGTTAAATTAAGTGATTTACTTGTCTTTAAAACATTACGATGGCTAATTCTTTGCATGTATGCCTACTGTTTTCGTGTTGGAGCATTCATTTAACATTGGTCTTTATAGTACGGCTTTTTGGACAAGCTTTTTGGATTCAGATGTTGTTGGGCAAAGACTGGTGATTTACAAGAAGATTCTAGAGGAAAGTATTTAGTGTACTTGTTATGATTGTTCATTTTGTACTTTTTGTCTACTTTTTTGGAACTTTATCTCCTCTTAGCTTTTGACTTTTCTTCCTCTATTCTTGTATAAATAGAGGCCTTTGGAGCTCTTTTTGTTCATCCCTCATCAGATTTACATCTGACTTTGTACTTAAATTTTAGTTACCTCAAGTACTTTTTATATATTCTTACACTTTACATTACATTGCTACAACATTATTATCATGTCTTTACTTTATTACTTTCCTTGTCATTTACTTTCTGCTTTTTACATTCAGTCATTTACTTTCCATTATTTACATTTATGTCTTTACTTTCTGTTATATACTTTCTTTGTCATTTACTTTACATAATAAGTAGCTAATTCCATTAGATTGAGTGTGAGACTAAGGATGAGATTTTAAACCGAAGGAAAGTGGACGTTGTTATACAATAACAACGTTCCACTATTTCATACAAGTTTTATAAAAAACCAATTGCACTTTTTGTCAAGTTGATCACTTTGAAAGTGTTAAAGTGTCATGGTCTTAGTCATGAGTCATTGAATGCACGTCAATTTGAATGATATGAGAAATAGAATTGAGAAAGTTGCCAAGAAAGAGATTTGTCATTTATATCTTTCTAACTAATTAATTCTCAATGGGTTGGTCACTTGTTAAAGTGTTAAAGTACAGTAGATTCAGAGAAGAACTACTTGGTAGGGGTTGTTTACACACCCTTAGACATATAAAAGGAACCACAAAATAAGTATACACAATATAGTCCAATATCGTTTTTTTCCCAAGGAATAAAGAGGTAAAGTACCGGTTATCGTCTACGGAGATTGCAATAAAAGTCTAATGAAAGAAATGATTTCAGATGATAAATTTGAAACTTTGATTGGTTTGATTTAACAACTTAAATAACAAAATATATAAAGGTAGCATGGATGTAAGACTTGTGGTGAGACATAAACACAAATTCAAGCAGACAACGCTGTAGGGGTGCTACAACAAGCAGTCAGCCATAACTAGTTCTACTATTTATTTTGAGGGTATTCCTCTCGAACTTCCACCATTGCACTATATTATAGCTTTCAACTCATATCTCTATATGGTATCAGAACCAATGATAGTGTCAAATGGTGTCCTCAAAAAATATGGATAAACAAATGTTTTTGTTAAAAATCACTCTCTCGAGCCAATTCCCATATCGTTCAAGTTGATGTGTGTTCTAAGTAGTTCATCTTTGAATCTACTGCACTTTAACAAGTGACCAACCCGTCGAGAATTAATTAGCTTGAAAGATATAAATGACAAATCTCTTTGTTGGCAACTTTCTCAAGTCTACTTCTCATATTATTCAAATTGACGTGCACTCAATGGTTCATCTCTAAGACCATGACATTTTAACACGTTCAAAGTAATCAACTTGTCAAAAAGTGTCATTAGTTTTTGTAAAACGTGAATGAAATGTGCAACGTTGTTATTGCAGAACAACGTCCACTTGTCTTTGGTTTAAAATCTCACCCTTAGTCTCACACCCAAGCTAATGTTATTAGCTACCCATTAAGAATAGTAAATGACAAGGAAAGTAAATAACATAAAGTAAGACATAAAATGTAAATAATGGAAAGTAAATGACTGAATGTAAAGAGCAAAAAGTAAATGACAAGGAAAGTAATAAAGTAAAGACAAGATATAATGTTGTAGCAATGTAATGTAAAGTGTATGAATATATAAAAAATACTTGAATTAACTAAAATTTAAGTACAAAGTCAAATGTAAATATGATGAGGGATGAACAAAATGAGCTCTAAAGGCCTCTATTTATACAAGAATAGAGAAAGAAAAGTCAAAAGCTAAGAGGAGATAAGATTCCCAAAAAATAGATAAAAAGTACAAAAGTACAAAAGGAACGATCATAACAAGTACACTAAGTACTCTCATCTAGAATCTCCTTTGTAAATCATTAGTCTTTGCCCAAGAGTTATCAAAAATTTGTCCTTATCCACGTACAGCATCTGAATCCAGAAAGATTTTCCAAAAAGCCGCACTACAAAGACCAATACTAAATAAATGTTGCAGCACATAAACAGTATGACATACATCTATAGAATTAGTCATCCCCATGTTGTAAAGACAAGTAAATCACTTAATTTAGCTCCATGGATAAACAAATGAAAAATAATATAATAAAAAGGACTTAAAGTTGGGACAAAAAAACAAATAACCTACCTAAAAGTAAAGAAATAGGTGTTTTATGCCTTAAATAATCAATGCATATCACACCCCCAAACTTAAAGTGTTGCTTGTCCACAAGCAATTAAAAGACAAAAAGAAAATGACTTAATTTGGAAAAAGTATACAAGATATGGCATTAAGTACACACATATTGCAAAGCTTACCAACACGAACTTCATAGCCTTTGATAAACCCTTAGTTAACCATTCATAGCCTAATTATATGTATGAACCATATGCTAGCACCTATCTTTCCTTTGTTAAATTCAACATGCATTTCATTTAGGATAAATAGGGGTTTTATATGGTTACTCTCTTTGGCTTTTTCTTTTCTCATCTAGCCTTTTTTTTACTCATGGGAGCATCATACTAATTCTATGCTCAAAACCTTTAAAGCCTCAAATTTGACCCCTAATGCCAATGTTTGGGTCAATTTTATTAGGCACTCCCTGAATTCTACAACACATGATAGTTCCATAAATGTGGAAAGAATGATCCTCTTATACTGTATCATGAAATGGAAAACCATTAATATAGGAGATGTTGTACACAAGGCCATTGTGTATTGTGCCAAAAGATCTCAGGGAAAACTCTACCGCTCTGGACTGATTAACAAAATTTTGCTACATGCTGGAGTCCCATTTTATCAGGAGGACTTGGTGGTGAAAGAAGGTGAGGAGAAGTACTCCATTTGAAGAATTCACTGATAGTTAGGATAGATTCGTAGACCAGGTCGACTGATCCGTTTTCAAAATCGAAAATTATGGCATTACCTGCAACAATCAGGCGGTTTTCATCTGTCCCTCTCTTACCTTCTGAGGAAGGGGCACGATTAGCCAATCAGAAGTAGATGCCTCTTCCAAGGCTCTGTTTAGGCCTTTCTCGTATAAGCAGATGAAAGGAAGTTGAGAAGCTTGTTGACTAGGCCGCAATTCTTCTTTAAATCGTCTTGGTTAATCTATGATTTCATTCATGAATCTTCCCTTCGTGGAGATAAGATATGAAGGGTTGTCTCTAGACTTAGAGACAAGAAAGAAAAAAGGGTGACATCTATTGACTTGATGACCATTCTTCAAGATTTGTTAACTCAAAACAGCAATCTCATGGACAACTTGTTGAGTTCTTGTATTGAACACTATAAAATATAAATTTACAAAAAACAAAAGGAAATGTAATTCAGAACTTTTGTAGATTGAAACATGAAAACGTATAAAAACAAACAAGATTAAACAATCTGAAAATTAGTACAAATTTTATAAAAATTCGGTATTGAAAATTAAATTGTGTTTTAATTTATAAGATTTTCAATTGTATTATTTTCAACTATGTGCTAACAAACTCCCAAATTTTAATCAAAGAGGATGATTTGGCTCGATTTTTCATCCGAGTCTAAAGAAGACCGACCTGTCTTGAAAAAGTTCAGACCGATTAATTATGGAGATTCTAATTACATCCTTAAGCATTGTTAATAACACCCCTAACCCCTACTTAGGGGTTTGTTTTGGATTGCTTATTTGAAACAACTTATGCTTTTCTATAAAAGCATGTATCAACTTATTATAAGTCAGAAGGGTTTAACTTCTTCAAAAACTCCTTATTACCGGTTTGGCACCGGTATAAGTTGTTTATCCAAACACTCAAAAGTGTTTGTTACCGATATCATACCGAAATAAGTCAATAAGTTGTTTTTATAAGCAATCCCAAACACCCCCTTAATCATTACTCTTTTTGGTTTTTTTTTTCTTTTTTATTAATTTGTATTAAATTTTAATTACATGAATTATTACTTTTTCCTTTTTTTGCTTTTATTTATTTATATTATATTTTAATTAATACGAATCAAGCATCAACTTTTTTCCTAATATAAACTTTTATTACTATAAACATCATTTTTATTAACTGTAAGAATGATAATAGAAAATAATAAATAAAATATATTATGCATAGAACGAAGCAAAAAGAATTATAATGGTGCAAAATATATTAAATAATTAAGTATTTATTAAAAAAATTATGATATCACTTTATAAATATCAAAATAACTAAAAGCTTTATCATAAAAGTAATTACATTTTTAAACTCATTATAAACCAACTCTTCCCAACCATCGTTAACAAATGGATCAGAAATGGAGTTGTTCATGACGGGGCAACCCGTTAGACCCGGTCCATCAAGTAAGTTAGAAATGTGGGTTTGGACAATCATTATCGGAAAAATAGACAGGCTCGAGTTTGTTCATTAAAATTAACGGACGAACATAAACAATGTGAAAATAAATATAGACAGGTTGTCCGGCATGTTTATATTTTATAATTACTATTTTTTTTATCTTTAATTAAAATTATATTAGTATATTTTAATATTAAATTATTAAAATTATAGAATGAGACTTTTCGGTTATTCTTGAGAACCCAAAAGGTTAAGATGACATTTTGTTTACAGATTCTGGAGAAATCTAAAGAAATTAAAATGTTGAATTCTTTTGACCAGATTCATTTTTTTCGATTGGTTCATTATTTTCAAAGGAAAAAATCTTCGTAATTCTATGAATTCCATAGATAAAAGATTTTAACATTATTTGATAAATAGATAAGATTTTAATAGAATTGGAATTTGTGATGTTCATAATACCAATTATATCCTCAACCCATCTCATAATACCCTAATCTCTTAACAAGCCGACAACAATTTCTCCTCAAGAAACCGACACCTGCTCGATCTGTTGCTTCTCCCTCGAACACCAACTCACTTAACAGGTTTGATTTCTCATCTTTCAATTTCTCCATCGAACACCAACTCATTTAATAGATTTCATTTCAATTTTGTCAACCAAACAGATGATCAAACCTGACAACATTCTATTCCAATTCCTTCAAAGTCAAATTCTTTCGACATATTTCATTTCATCCAAAAACATTATGTAAATCAAACACCACTTAAAGGGTTGTTTGTTTATGAAAGTCTAAATCTTGTTTTTCATTTCGTTCTCCAGTTGTTAAGATTCATGTGGCACTTTAGTTGCTTAAAATTTTAATTGCAACGGTGTTTTTCTTTTACTTTTTGGTTCCAAATTTGTTAATTAATTGCTAACAATCAAGTTTATAGATTTATATAAGTTACACTTTTTAGGCCCGTTAGACAAGAATGACAAGTAGTCAAAACCCAAAAAAAAAAGGCTTGGATTTACAATAGTAAACTACGTTAAAAAAACAAAAAAAATTAAACCCGGCCCAAACGCAACCCAAACCTGCAAATGATCTATCTCCACTCTCCAGTCTCCAGGGAGAAATCGATAATGATGATGCATTTTCAAAAACACATTTGTTTTTTAGGCGGTAAATAAAAAAAGAAAATCAGGGGAAAAACACGTGTACCACCAAACCTGCCACGTGGTCAGACGTGGCAGAAGTCGATTCATAACCTCCGACCTCTATCCTTTGACAATCCCAATTCCTAACTAGTACAAATAAAGGAAGCCAAAACCAGAAAGCTTTGGAAGTAAAAGATGTCAGGTGCCCAAGGAACATTGCCGCCGGGAAGCACGACGGCGACGACCTACCATTCCGTACAGGGTGGACAGAACCAGAGTCGAATGGACATCCACTCCAAAGAGGATGAGGGTAAAATTCAGATCGATAAAATACAAGACAAGGTGGAGGATTGTGCAGGTCGTGGCGGCCCAATATTTGGTGATGCTGTGTCAGCCACCATTGAAGCTGAAGAAGAAGGCCGCCGTGATAAGCCGGACCCTGGTGTTACCGGCACCGGATAAATATATAGGCTACCTACTTATCTAAATAAACTCTTCTTGTGTTTCTACTACAAGCTTTTTAGCCTCTATGTAAAGATGATGAATGGACTTTGTATATTATATATGCTTATAAATTATGCTTAGACTTTTAGCACCAACGATTCTATGGATCCTACCGAACAAAACTTAGAAGTTGGTTCAGTATAACTATAATTATACACATATGGAGGTTGGATAGTTGCATGGTAGTGAAAATCCATATATGTGAGGGGTGTTTGAAGGCTGACACTTGAATTGAATTGTAAATGTAGAGAAGGTAAAAGATAAAAGAGTAGGATGTGAAAACTTACAGAACAGAACACCTATCAAGATGAAGATAACAAAAGCATTTGTCTTCCTACTTTTTGGAGGAACCAAAACCTCCAAATCCCATCATGGCTGCAACATCGGGGTCCACCTCCATTTCCTCCTCTACAACCTTCTCTTTCTGTTCACCAACAAGTGCTCATTATCATATATATATATATATATATATATATAATATATATATATATATATATATATTATTATAAGGAAACAACGAAAATGGAAATGGGTTTGTTTATTCTCACTCGCCTTCTTTTCTTTTTTTCTTTCTCGGCGTTGACGCTTCCTTTCCTCCTCTTCTTGCTGTTGTTTCAAGATTCGCTCATCAAGATCTAAAACATGTAAGGAATAAAAAGGGTTACAAGTCTACACCAACCTGCCCCTTCGATGGAGCCTAAACCCACACAAGATTGTTCCAAAGTTGGTAGATATTGGCTTTGGAACCCATTAGATAGATTAGTTATTTATTTTCCAAAAGCAAAGGGTATATTGAAGACTAGTCCAAATAGAGCCGGTTTCTTGACAAACTAAAATCACAATCCAAAATATTCCTAGCTGCTTTGTACCTTGCTCAGTAAAGGTTCCTGTCTCTTTTCGCTTCTTGAGATTTTCAAATCGCTGCTGAACCTGTCCCATATAACGAAGTGAATCATTTAAAACAGCATACAATACCTTTTCCCACCAAAAATGGGTTTCAAACGGCCAGAATACTTCAGTTTCATTTGGTTATAAACTTGAACTTTCTTGGTCATTATTTATTTATGTAGAAAACGTCTCTCATAGTCTCATTGAGTGACTAGAAAATGTGTGAAGAAGCCGGCACCAAGAATTGGCACATGATGCATGGCAAGTAATTTATTAGAGTTCACATTAAGGCAATGTTGGCAAATAGGCCGATAAGCTAGTTGTTGGCTGATTAGTTATTAGTTGTTAGCTGATTTTGATAAAAACTAGTTGCTAATGTAAAATGATCTAAAAAAATATGTTTGAAAATTAATTAGGAAAAATATGAGCATAATTAAAAAAGAAAAGCCATCTGATAGTTTTCCAAAGTTTTCCAAAAAGCTAGCTTATAAGCTAGTCTACGCTTTACCAAATATGGCATTTTTTAATAAGCTAAAAGAAATATGGCTTTTTTAATAAGCTAAAAGAAGCTAGTTTACGGCTGCAAAATACAGTGGCCTATTAGGGAGGATTTATAAGAAGTTCGAAGAAGATAAGAAAGAGAATAGAACTGTGCTACTAATGTTCTTAAATTCCACTTTGGTCAAATATAATTGTATCCTCAATGCATGTGTGGATTTCTACCTGTTCAAGAGATGCCCGTTCTACCCGCATAGACATTCCCAACGCTCTTTGATCTGTAGCAGACTTTGATATCAACAATAATCGTATTTAAGAAAACAAACCATAAATGACACTTTTTATGAGTAACTACATACGCTTCTTTCCATTGATATGGTCCAAATAGTTCGCAGAATCTTTCACTACACATTCACAAACAGAGCAGAAGTATCCAGCCTGCACAGGATCAATTTCTTAGCATGCCGATTGATTTTTCATCATAGGGCAGTCATTGCCATATTGTTCAGTTATGAAGCAAATACATACACACTATAAAGAAAAGAAATTAGCTGCAACATGAATAGAAATTAAATAAGACATGTCAGATAAAAAGTTAGCAGACTACATGTGGACCCTATTAGTAAGGGACAATATGAAGACATATCATACATCCAAAGAATTCTTTATCCAAAAAAACATCCAAAGAAGCAGACTGCATGAAGACATATAACATGTGGTGTTAATATGTTTTTTTCTGTTCACTTCATTTACATGGGTAGTTAGTAGTTACTTCTGGTGTTCATTCTATCCGTCCCGTTAAAAATGATTTAATTATATCTAGTATTTATATATTTAGTGTAGACACAAGGACACGTGCTTTAACTTGTGACAATGATGGTAAGCCAGACAGGTACTTTCTTGCCCTTCAAATGTTTACGGTGAAGGGGACATATGAATATATTCATGTAACACAAAAGAAAAAGTCAACGAAAACATGGCCAAAATTATATGTGCATAAATATCCTTTTAGGCTGGTTGAACATGAGTTTTTCATTTTTTTCTCCAAAAAACATGAGTAGACATTCTGTTTGTAAGACACTGAACCCGGAACTTGATTCTGTCTTTAGAATAACAATTAAAAATGAGGTCATGGAGCTATATCACTTTTAAATACTAGAAGATTAAAGCAATATATGATGGTGTTGGAAGGATTATCTTTGACTTCTGATGTGCGTACTTCAAATTAAACTACGGAATATATTGTCTTCCTGCACATTTTCTGTATTCTTAATTGCAATTTGCATGAGGGTAATTGACTTATGTAGAATAGCATCCACCCAATTCAACACAAAAAGAATACATGGAATTCATAATCAATAAATAGGTTGCCGAAATACCTGCTGGCTAAGGGGTGCGATTGGAGTGACAACCTATCAAAGAAGAGAGGTATGAAGGAGTCAGAATAAAATGCTGTACTATTCCAACATAAACCAAAATAGTTTATTAGTGATTTAACATTAAAATAAGCAGTGGGTAGAACTTTCGGGGTGAGAGTTTGAAGATTCAAATATTGTCACACCAAATATTGCGCATGGATAATACAGTATACATTTATGTAAATAGACGTGTGGGCAACAAAAGCAGATACAAACATTGAAGAAAGAGAACAAAAGCTTAATCTAGCCAGGAACACAACCTAAAATCCAAAAACAAATTTCTTGTTAAAGTTTTACAGCTTAAGGAATAGTAACTATTATGCAACACCAAACTACCCCACTCCTGGTTAGTCCTTGCCACAAGTAATACTTCATCGTCTACGATATGAGTGACAAAGTCCTTGTTTCTTCAGTACAGCAAAACATGCCTTTCTAATTTCTATATGGGCTTATAATATGACCTTTAGAAGTTCCTTAATGAAGATTGACAGCATTGAATTTTCATGTTTTAATATGTGTTTATAGGCTCAAAATCCCAATTTTTATGTTTTAATATGCCTAAATTATTCTTTATAAGCCTAATCCGAGTTTTATGTTGATCAGGGCAAGAAACGAAAGAGAGAACACGAGAAAAAAAAATGGTTGGCATGCTTAAGACGGTTGTACGGAACAAGTGGTCAAAGAAAGGCAAAACAGAGGAAAATGCTACCCAGCCATGCCAGGGTCGCATAATATATATGTGGCTACGGTACACAAAATGCTACCCTGCCATGCAAGGGTCGCATGTTTAACTGAAGGAACCAATTTTGCCAATTTTCAAATCTTGAGCAATTTTTCCATTTTCTTGGTATAAATTGACTTGGAAACCGCCGTTTGAGGGAGAGCAGGCCTAAGGACAATTTCTAGAGCAAAGAAGAGGATTATGAAGCTTTTCTATCATTTTCTTCTTGTTTAATTCCGTAAGTAACTAGTTTCTTCATTCCACAATAGTGTAGCCTTTGATTTTGATTGCATTTGGCTTAGAGATTCCTATGTAAAGATGTTTCAACAAGTTTATTTGCTTGAACTCCGTATGAACGTCGTTATTTTTTGGTTTATTAATTAATCTGATCAATTGATTGATACCCATTTGATGAGAAAGTCATTTAAAACCCTATATCCGTATTTGTATGGGGATTTGATAAAGTGAAAATGGTATGTTTGATTTCAAAAAGGTTTTTGAACGTATGCCATTAATTCTTGCAATCAAAGCTCTAGCAAGCCAAGCTTGTGAGCTTATTGCTTTGAATTGGTGATTTTTCTAATTCGTTGATGCTAATCACACCTGGGGATTTAAGAGCTTCTTTAAGACCTCATTTGTTGTTAAGATTTAACCAAAGAGCTTATTTTGGTTAATGTCTAAGGAAAAATTGAGATTTTCAAAGCTTGTTGACAACTATAGCAGGTTTAGACTTGTCATGCCTCCTTTAGCACCATAGGAATCGATAATAAACATTTTGCATCATATCAAGGGTGAAGCTATTGTTGGGCTTTTAGTTATACTGCTTTTAATCTTAGGTTTGAATTAGTTAATTAAATCCAACCCCCCCCCCCCCCCCCTTCTGCTTTAAGTGTAGAAGTCAAATAATTGTCACGACCAATCCTTGTGGATTAGACCTGACTTACACTTACCACTATTACAGTCTATATTGTGATTTGGGACAGTTAGAAACTATTTGCTGGCTACGACAGCCGTCAAAGATCATCATGATTCATGAAGTGACGTCCTTCTAGAAGGAAAATAAAGTTATACTGTCAGCAAGCTCTAACTTTAACTAGGTTGCACATTATAGCACAAATATAAGAAAAGAAACACAAGATAAATTTATTCAACTCATTTAGTTTTGTGAAGGCTAATCGTTTGCTTCCAGAAACTTATCGTAATAATCACATCTATCCAATACAACATCATGTAATCAAGCATTTTAAGTTTAAGGTACTATGTACGAAAAATCCAAGTGTATAACCCCAAGAAGAGACCTGAGAACATTGACATGAGGCCTCGTTGTAAAGCTGGGACACACAACAGTATCGTGCAGTTAGGATCTCAGGAAGATAAAACTGTCTGACTTCCAAGATGTAGTATATATCTTTAGTTCCCTTGTATAATTGATGTTTTAAATGCATTTATAACTGATCCCTTTTTAATTAAAAGAACTTCATTTCATTCATAAGCAAAACATAGGACTTTTTAGTTTTTACATGGTATAATTTATAAATCTTTAAATTGGACACTATTATCTGTGTGGTGATCCGGATGAAAGATGTAATTCTATTCCCACACATCAAGCAAAGATTGAATTAAGCCCATTGTTCTTAATTAATTCTTTTCTACACTGGTTTTTTTTCTGTAGTTCTTTTTTTCTGCGTCCTGCCTATGGTGGGTCTTGTGTTGTTAAAAGGGAGCATAAAGATAACAAGACATCCAAACACAAAATAACCAAGTCACACCAGCTCCTTGTAGACCCAAAAATAGTTTGACGAGTTCATATGCTTCCTTGCAGAATGGATGAGTCCACGGTTAATTGCGAGAACTTTCACACTTGGTATTTGTTGTATAACGTTCCTCGTGAACAGAAAGTAAGGAATGATTATTTTATTGTTTTGGATAAAATAGGGGATGATTATTTTAGAAGAGCACAGTTATTTTAATTAACCACAAACTTGAAGGTATTTTGGACCTTTTGGCCCAGCCTTACTTGAATTTAAAAATCCGGCTCGCTCCTGGCCTTTGGACCCTTTGCCCGCTTAGAAGTGGATTCGAACCACTGACACAAGGATTTTCAGTCCTTTGCTCTAACCAGCTGAGCTACCTAAACCACTTTCCTAAAATATGTTTTATTCACCGAATAGCGCCCTACCTTACCACTTGACTAGTAAAAATCCCTTGTACTAAAAAAAAAAAGAATATATAGGCCTTTTCCGCTTCTTCGTCAAGCTTTCGAGCAGCTCTTTCAACTGYCGCCTAATCCCCCAACATGCTCAAGAACCGAGAGCCACCCAGGGACCGGACTCCACCAAGAGATTATTTCTCTCACGTCATTTCGCCCGCCTGTTTCACTTCTGTCCCGGAGGAAATGGGATTCGAACCCATGCATGATGCAATCTTCTTGTATGTCGATTTAGCAAACCAATGCCTTAAGCCACTCAGCCATACCTCCAAGTTGTTGATTGGAATGGAATTTGATGCAGCGGGTTTGGTTGGTTGCCCGAAGGGCTATCTGATCCGATCAACTGCGTAAGCCGTAGCGCGCGCTAGGAGTCTTGGAGGCGCAGGACTAGGGTTGCTGACTTTTGAATAGGACCTGGTAGTAGGGAACAACACTGATGTTTGAAGGAGGTTAGGGGGTCAGCAAAAAGGTGGAGGGTGCAATAAAGGTGCTTCAGGGGCAGTTTGTATAGGTTGCAGGGTGATCCTAGTGTGGGGTAGCTAGGATTTGTCTTCCCTAGTTTGAGGTACCTGCTTGTTCTTGATGTCACATATATTAGTTCTATCGCATTAACGTTACTCAACTACTTGTCAGTTTGCACATAACATTGAATCATGCACACACCATTTTAATTGTATCTAACATGTTAAATTATTTGACTATCTTTGGTCTTCTTGGCTCTTGCACACACCTTTAAATAGTGCACTAGCCAGGGGTCTTCACTGAAACAGCCTCTCGACCTTTCAGGTTGAGATAAGATATGTGTACAACTGTACATCCTACCCCTCCCAGACCCTACTCCCAATCAGAATCAAGAAATCTCAGATATATTTAACCTAATAGAAACTCACATCCTTGGAGCAGTAGCCATTAACATAACCTATTACCTATGTACTCCCTTGTTTGAAGTGTCACATATGTAAAAGAGGTATGCCTCTAAGGAAACACTAACCAATCTAGAACTTCATTATCCCTGCCGAAGCTAATTCAAAAGTTGGTGGGATCACATTTACCATATTTTCTGATAAGAAGATGAATAGGTAACATATGTATTAGTAGCAATATTGAAAATTATGTGTAAATTACAAAATCTTCAGTAAAGAGACTAATAATAAATAATGGACTGCCTAAAAAGGGAGTAATATATTTAATATGGTACGAAAAGGTAACATCTGCATTGCTTATTATATGCACAGATGATTTCAAAACTACATTTTACACGTAAACTTCAAAAATCCCACCATGTCACTTTATTAGCAAAATACTTGGCCCCAGACCCCCCATTGATGCTACTACAAGTACTTCATAGATGTAGCTAAAATCAGGTACTGAAAAACACTTGTTGCTCTCAGCTGTTAACAGGCCTTAAGCTTGTTTAATCAACTATATAAAAACACTTAATTTTCACACATCAGAACTGTAAGTGCCACAAAACCGAATCACAACTTCTGGAGAACACACAAAAAGCCCAACATGTAATTACTTGATGAAAAGGGAAGTGACTAACCTGAGTCTTCCCCAGGCGAGAGTCAAGGTCCACTTCATAATCTCTATGTTTCAAGGGTTTCCTTTGCACCGGCGGACCTTTTGCTGCAACCAAGGTTTAATTTCATCTTCTTGAAAAACTCAGTTTAATCAATATTATTTTGTGTATCTATGCTGGGATCATTATGACCAAAACAGTTATGATGCAATCTAGAAATCACAAAATGCGGGTTTCTTTTTCCAATCAGAATAATTAGATTGACATTATTCCAACTACAACAACTATGTGTCCTATCTGTTTCATCACAGTACTCTCTTCATTAATCAAGTTTTAATGCGATCACAGGTAATCTTCTGCAGGGGACAATAGGTGACAGAAATTGAACTATTTCACTTACATTTTGATTTACGGCCTTCCAACTCCTGAATTGCAAACAAAGAAAGCAGAAACCATCAGAAGAATTTAAAACGAAAATGCGTAAAATCAAACGAAGTTATCAATCGGTAAATTAAAAAACCTTTTCTTCACGCTCACGAGCGCGTTGCAAATACTCTTCTCGATCAAATTTTCTTCTGAAGGTGTTGTCAACTCCAGCAGCCTACATACAGTAATTGGAAGTAGTATTATCAAAACAAACCAAAAAAATCAAAAAATAATATTCCAAACCCCGATATAAATCTGAAGAATATACGATTGAAAGGTGAGGGAGAAAAGAGGAGCTTACGTTGTTGGGTTGAGCCATAGCTTGGATTTAATTAGGGCTCAAACACCAGGTGTTATTTCTCTGTCAATTAAAATCGAAATTGGATGCAAACAGATGCTGAAAACTTGAATTATGGCTGGATACTAGTTATTATGCAAGAGAGAAGAAGATGGAGGAGGAAAACACCTTCAAAAAATTTATTAAAGTTTAAACCCTAATTTCTATTTCCGATAGATCAGAGGAACAGTGAAACTCAAAACGAATAAAACCTCGACTTGAGCTCACAGAGTTCCAAGGGATGTTTTCACTAAACCCGTTGATGCCGTGTTTAGCGTCTATTGGTAGATCTAAATGCTTTGCCGTACAATTAGAAGGTCACTCGTACAACATAAATCTCGATTTTAATGTATAGTTTGTTTTGTCTCTGTTAATATAATATAATTTTATGTGATTTTGGCTTTTGATAAAACAATAATGTTTTTAGTTTTGAATGAAATATAAATTTTAAAAAAAATAAATCTATATATATATATATATTAAAGGAGAAACCAACTAAAATGACATGGAATTATGAGATATGAGTATTTCTCAAATCTTGAAATGTAGTTAAATTTGTTTATCCTACATTGGTGGGAAGAAAAATAGTAGAAGAAATGATATGTGTATATATATATATGAGAAGATGAGGTGATTCCATATTGATGAACAAATGATACATTGATAGAGTATGATGGGTGTATATAAAATAAGCATGTGATGGTTTGAAAATTAAGAGAGCAATGTAAATATGTGAGCTATTGTTTGACCTCTAATTTTGGAGTTTTAGTTTTTTTTTTTTATCAAATAACAACAATCGAAGTTGATGTGACATTATACAATTTGTGACAACTTAGGATGTTGGCTCTTTTTTATCAATCCTCTAAACTCACGTTATTGGCTCATTTTGGCCAACCCTCCGAACTCATGAGCTTATTCATTTTGGCCAACCACATTTTAGCAAAAAGAATGAGGTGATATTAAATGAAGAACAGAGAGGCATTGAGCTGACATTATGAGAATGAAGTATTTTCCAAATAGTGAATTGTTGTTGAGTTTTAGATATCTCACTTGGTGAGAATTTGACAAAATATAATAAAGAGACATGTATAAGAATGAACGATGGGATGATACTTGTGTCAACTAATGAGGTTTGACTCATGAGTTGTCTTATTTTTATAACCCTATTTTTTGCAAAATAACGTTTATTATATAAAACAAATCTTACTAAAAGATCAACCAAGTATTGTAAGATGACATTACAAAACTTGAGTATTCTCAAATATTGAAATGTGATGTGTTTTGATTATTCCATGTTGGTAGGAAAATGGTAGACTGGAAAAAGAAATGTCTTTGAAATCTATAGTCGTGAGTTGGAATCAAAACCAATTCCAACCAAACAATAAAAAATATAGTTATGAAAAACAATGGTTGAAATCTATCATAGCCAATCAAATGATAAAAACTTATAATTTAGAAATATTTTTCTACATGTAATCAAAAGTATGAAAGATGTCTTTCAAATGTATAGGCATGGTTGCCATCCAAATCATTTCCATCCAAACAATGAAAATTATAGTAATGAAAAACCATGTTTGAAACCAAAGTCAACCAGATAGCAAAACCAATTAGTAATTTTTATATTTACGAAAATTCATGGTTGAAATCTATCAAAACCAATCAAATAGTAAAACTTATAGTTATGAAATATTTTTCTACATGTATACAAAAGTATGAAAGATATCTTTCAAATGTATAGTCATGATTGAAATCAAAACCATTTTCATCCAAACAATGAAAATTATAGCAATGAAAAACCATGGTTGAAATCAAAGTCAACCAGATGGCAAAACCAATTAAAGTAAAACTTACAAGGGATGAGGTGACATCCTAAGGATTGAGTATTCTTCATTTTTTGAATTGTGGTTGAGTTCCGTATATCCCATAATAACGGATATATGAAAGATTTACAATGAATGGTGAGTATAAGAATGGAGGTTGAGATGTCTTTGTGGCAACTCATGAGGTTGACTCCTCTTGACCGATCCTCTAAACTCATGTTGTTGGCTTATTTTGTCCGACCCTCCGAGCTCATGGGTTGACTCATTTTTGTCAACTCTTTTTTTTAACAAAAAAATGTTAACCATACAAATAAATTGGCTAAAATATAATTTTTAACCGACCCTTCTTTTGCAAAAAGAATATATATATATATATATATATATATATATACATACATACATACACACACATAAAATTTAATTGAATATCTATATATATCTATAAAGCAGAAACATACAATGTTGACGTGGCATCTCCTTGTACTAGTATTCATGTCTTCCTTTTTTCTCCATTTTTTCCTTTTTTTTTAGGTTTTATATTTAATCTAAGACATTTACTCTTCATCTTCTACCGTTACAATTTCTTCTCTTCTACGTCTTTCTATCATATAAACTTCTTTACTCTTCGTCTTCTACCGTTACAATTCATTTTCTTCTACGTCTTTCTATCATAAACTTCTCTACTCTCCATCTAATTCTTTCTCTTCTACATCTTTCTATCACAAACTTCTTTGCTCTTCTCCATCTCTCAATCCCGATAAGAAATTATGGATTGACAGTATAGCTGGCAATACGCCTTTCTCTATCTTTCTATGCATCTATAGAAAGATATGGAACAATAATTATGGGTGTTTTACTTCTATTTTTTCGATCTCTCTATCTGCTCTGTTGTCTGCGATTAAAAACAAACTGAAGGAGATTAGAGAAACCATATAAGGAGGAACAAGAAAAGTCTATGGCAAAATCAGTTGTTGGTGTGTTTCTTTCATCTCTGAAGTTCCGAGAAAACTAATTAGATGCTCCAATATCTCCATGAGACTGTATATACAAAACATGGAAATTGTATGTTTTCATTTTGAATTACTACCTCAATTTTCCACACAATATGAACTTTGAAGTTGATCTAGATGTCTCAGATTGGTAATTTTGTTATTTTCATTTTGAAGATTGCAGATTGTTTTTGTAAACAATTAATTATTTATCTTCTACTATATTTTTTAAAAATTCGGGATATTCATAGAAGGAAAAAAAACGATAATTTCCCATCTTTTCGAACTAAAACAAAATTTGATAATTTTATTCTATAACCATGTTCCATGTCACAATTTTATTGGATTTTTCATTATAAAAGGTAATATTCGGCTTTACACCTAATAATATACCGAATTGACATATGTTATTTATAAATTATATTTTTATTTTTCATAAGAAATATATTACACCTCTCTTTATTCTTATAATAATAAGACAATCAAAACCAAGAAATTAGTTATATATCTATAGAATGTATTATCTGTTATTTCACAATTTAACTTCTTTTACGCTACATATTCATTTTTTGCAACCAATATATTTTAACTCTCTTTATACTAACATAATAAAATATTCAGAAATAAAATTGTATCATAATTATTCTGATACATTTTAACACTTTATATCGAATTCAAACTTATATATTCATTTTTCTACAACCAATGTATTTTAACTCTCTTTATTCTAACAAAATAAAACATTCAGAAATAAAATTGTAACACAATTGTTGTGATACCTTTTAAACACTTTGTATCAAATTCAAACTTATCGATACTTTTTTTCATCAATCACCAACGACCGCGCGAAGCGCGGTAAAGTTACCTAGTTAAATTATAATGAATTTCTATTCTAAAACCCATCAAAAATCCAACAAATGGAACATGGGAGTTTCATAAGTGAAAAGATTTGCATTTCATAACCATCTCGTTTATGGTTCTTCCAAATTTATTAAAATTCAACGTATATCGTTAAAAAAATAATTAATATTTTTATCAAATGGTTTTTTTTTTTTATATATCCCAAATTGATTATTTAAGTTAGTCAATCTGAATAAAGTATGATCAGTATAAAGTTTGTTTAGAGCATTACTAATCAGATTCTCCAAAATAAAAAAATTGAAGATTTTAAAGTTTTTGTCTTGTTTTTTAATACAAAATATTTTCCAAAAATTTCTAAAAATGGAGAAATGAGAAGTCTAAGGCCTTGTTTATGAATAAAAAGGAAGATGGTAGAGGTTTGAATTGTATAACAATGATTTGAGTAGTTAGATTTTTTTTAATTATAATGTTATTTTGATTATCTAACTTTGTCTATTTATTTAAAATATTCATTAAAACCAAATGTCATATTGTTTTTACATAAATTTGTATTATCGTGCAACGCGTGATGATGAACACTAGTCGATATTAGTATCGAATTAACTATTTAATAGTTCTTTTTTTATGTAACTTCTTTAATTCAATTTTTTATTATAATTTAATTTAGATTTAATCATAAAGTAACTTATTCTTGGTTTAATAATATAATTTTTAATAAATATAATAATTAAAATTATGTTAGAAATCAATAACTATCTTGATTATATTTTAGATTTTTTATATTTAAAATAGATGTTTATCTTGTATTTGATTATGTTTACCTGCAGTGATTTACATAAATTTAAAAATAGAGCTTTAATAAGTTGTACTTACGCAAAATTACTTGCAATTTTGAATTTTAAGTAACATGCATCAATGAACAGTAATTCATGCATAAAAAATGGTTTTTAAGAGTTTTTGTCAAATGTTTTATAATATAGTATAGATAATACATATTATTTGTAGCTAATTGAATTGATAATAAAAAAATTGTTTCGATTTATCTATATTATATTATAAAGCATTGACAAAAACTCTTAAAAATTATTTTTATGCATGAATTATTGTTTATTGATACATGTTACTTAAAATTTTACATTACAAGTAAATTATGCATAAGTACAACTTATTAAAGCTTTATG